CCTCCCTCGACCTGCTGGCCACACTCTTCTTGATGCACCCCAGGATGCCATTGGCCTTCTTGGCAGCCAGGGCACACTGCTGGCTCATGGTTAACCTGTCATCCACCAGGACGCCCAGGTCCCTCTCCACAGAGCTGCTCTCCAGCAGGTCCACCCCAAGCCTGTACTGATGCATGGGGCTGTTCCTCCCCAGTCATATGTTCTCTCTTTTTGTCACAGCTCTGCTATGTTGTGAGCTACAGAGGAGACTGCTAAAGGACTTGTTAATGCCAGTGGTGAAAGCCCCTGTCTCTCTGAGGCCTGTTTTTGTCAGAGAATTTGTGGATCATCAGGCATCAATTGTACTTGCAGCCGTTTCTGTCCTTCAGATTGTACCAGGAATAACACTTTTGAACACCTTGTGTTGGCCCAGAAAAATCCTTCAAACCTATTTTTGGAGGCAGACAACCCTTGAAATATTTGACCTGCTATCTTTGTTCTCCTACTTAATTCTTAAAATAATCTGATGTCTAATTTAATTTGTGATTCCAAACCGTCTAGTTTAGACTCTTGTGGGATTTGAGCACATTTAGATGTGCACCTGGAGTCAATTTTAAATTGTCTGTGAACCAAACCAATGCATGGTAAGTGGGGGTGAGTAGGATATTTAGTTTCAAATTGCTCTTAGCAGTTCAGTGAGCTAAAAGACCTAAGTTATTTCAGCTGTTTTCAGAATGAATAGTACTCTGTTTTCTTTAACTTTGCTACTGGTAGTTGTTTGAAGATTGTCATTGGACTGTATTTCCTGCTTAATGATCCTGTTACTTGATGGGACTTCATTTAGCCTTCTGTGATAGGGAAGGCTTCTGAACCTATGGAAACACACCTTCTCTGAGGCAAAAGATAAATGTCAAAATTAATCTGAACCTTTTGCCCAAAGTGCTTCCTATTCAATATTTATTTTTTAATTTACCTATTTTTCTTTTCTGCCAAATGCATCTTTCTCTTTAGCTGTTCTGCTAAGGGAACTCTAAAATTCTTCATCTAATTTCTGTTTTCTGACTTCAGGTAGAAACTCTTGTCTTACTGATTTTTGTCTGTACTAATGTGGCAGGAGCTTGTGATCTTCCTTCCCTCTGCTGCCTTTAACAGAGTGGGAAGATCAGAGGATGGTGAGGGAGTGCACAAAGATGAGGGTACTAAGGTGATGTGTGTGCGTTCTTCTCGGCCCTTTTCAGATTCTTGTGTCCATGCTTGCTGTTCCTCCACTGGTCCAAGCTGATTTTAAGTCGGTCTCCACACTGCGCTGGCATTCACTTCAGAGCTAGCAGGCACTTGTCTGTGCCCCGTGTTTCGTAGGCGTCATAGGGTGCTGGAAAGGTAGAGGCACAGGTTAGCGGGCAGTTACTGCCTTATAAGTTAAGGGCTATTGTTAAAGAGCTGGAAGTGAGCAGGCAGATAATGCGTGAGTAAAGGAGAAAGTATTTTTCAAAGAAACAAAATTAAATGCCACAAAACTCTGGTTATACAAAGCTAAGGATGCTTGATGCCGCTTAATGCCTTTTCCAAATGTGTTTTCTGATTATTTTTTTCCTTATAAATACTCTATGCAGTTAAGATATGCTCCCTTAATACCTTCACTCTTAGGTCTTCTTTCTGAATGATGCCCCAACAGCATCATGGTTTCTGGTGTTCTCTCAGCACAGTCTGTGCCTTTCCTGCAGTTAGCTCAAGTTACCTCTTTCAAGGGAATTCAAATCAATGCAACAATTTATCTTGAGAAAGCAGCTCCTTTGTGAAAACTGACTCCAGCAGCACAGGGTGATTAGAATACCACTGCGTTACTAGCCCAAGTGAGAATGATAAACTTCCAGCATGTTCCGTGAGAGGCTGGCTAGACTGAATAAAACTTCAGCTGCAAATGTTTATCAGAACGAGACCTGGGTTAACAATAATATTTGAGTCATTCTTTAAGTAGCACTGCAGAGAATATAAACATAAAAAGTATACAGTCTTGCAGGTGCTTAAGAAAAGTTTTGGATTTAGATAATTTATATTAAATTAGGGTTACATACACTTCAATAATAGGTTTTCTTCAAGCCCTGGGGATGCCTCCTGAGCTACTGCCTGCATTTACTTTTGCAAAATGTTGGAGGCCAGGTATATGTGCTGGCAGTCTTTATGGCAAGAGAATACTTTAGTATTTCTCTGCTGGCACAACCTCTGGAACTCAGTGCTGAATGAGGCACAGTTATCTTTTAGGATATGCAGCTGTCATTCGCAGTATTTACTTGACCAACTGCCACAAGAAATCACTCTATAATTCAGCCCAGTAGCATATAGTTTAGAGTAGTTCAGCAGCTGAAAACAGAAACATGTTATTCCTAAAAACTGTTCATCAGACTTGCCCTTGACAGTCCTCACAGAGGCATTCCCCCCTTAGTAATTCCAGAGAGCAAAACTGTATTTCGTGGTTCTCAGAATTAAACTTTACAGTCTGTCCCCTAGAAGAATGAGGCAGTCCTGAGCAACCTTTCATTTTGTGTGAAACACATTTTTGTAGAATTAGTGAGATATATTAAATGTGTGAAATATGCCTGAAAAAATAGCAAATAATTAAAGCCTACATTTTTATTTATGTTAGATTGAATTTTAAAAAATCAGTTATGTGAGTTTGTAGTGCTTGGGTTGATGTAAGAGTTATGGGAATGACAAAATGATTAGGCTAATTTGTATCATGTGAAGAAATTTGGAATGTGGAGCTAAGGGGGACAAGGCAGTCTGTCTATGGATCATCAGAGTGAACACTTTTAATTTGCTTTCATCTTTTGTTTCTTTTTGCTCCCGTTGCCACAGTAGAATTTTTGCATCTGTATTTGATAAAAGCATTTCTGTAGTTGACATACAAATGTAGTTTGTAATACAAGTTTATTTTTTTATAACCATAGCAATGTACTGGTATAATTATGAATGTTTCAAGAAGATGATGTATAAGGAAGTTGGTGCACATGAACCAACATTTTTTATTGCTTTTACTTCAGGAGCAGCATCTGGCTCTGTAGTACATATTTTTGTTTCTCTTTATTATTATCAACTATTTAGAAGAGGTATGATTTTATATGATTTTCTCAGAAGTGGTGTAGGTTTTGGGGTGCATCTACTTTGAATACACATGGTCTGGTGTTCAAGCTGATTAGGGATATCTGAATAAATTACAGGGTTCTGAAATACAAGACTTTTAATAGTATCAGGCACTTGGAATATAAAATCTAGTTTTAAACTGTGTGCTCTTTAATTAAAAAAAAATTAAATTTTAATTGTTTGTGGTCTGACATTAAAACATTTCCTGATAGATCGCAGCTGTCATAACTCTGCCATTTGATGTAGTGAAAACACATAGGCAGACTGAACTTTGGGAGTGTGAGACCTTAAAAAGTAAGTTGCTGACAGGGAGAAAAAAAACCTATAATGTTTGAAAAAATAAAACCTAATGTTTGGGTATATAAACTTTTGGTGGGAATTTTAAATATTTGTCTCTTCTTTTAATGTTTATCTAAAAATACTATCACTAAGACCTTTTCTTCTCCAAAGTGTAACATCTCATAGGATATTTTTTATCTCCTAGGATAAATACAGTATTTCATGAATGGCATGGAGGAGGGAAAAGGTGTGAGTTCAGTATCATTTAGGTTAATAAGATGGCATAAAATATAAACAGAAAAATCCAGAGCTATTACATTGAGGGAGACCAATTGCACATTTGTATACTTTTAAAGTAAGATATTTAAATAGGAAAAAAATTGATTTATTATTAAACATTCAGGTGAACAGTGATCTATTGAAAAAGACTTTTGAGTTGATAAAAATAACATGATAAAATGTTTGCTTGCTCCTTTATAATAATATTCTTCTTTTGTTAAGTATTAGGCTAGAGAGAGAAAGCACTGTGCTCAGGTTGTATAGTTTTTACCTTCTTTTTGTGTGGTTTCAAATAAGTTATTTTTGAGTGAATATCCTATTATTGTATTAGTGAATATCCTAATAGCTTTAAAGGATGAAAGAGGAAGGAAGTTTCTTTTTTTGTTCTGTGTTTAGTAGCACTACTGCATTTTATGCAAATTCAAGTTGTATCTAAACCCTTTTTTTTTGCATTGCTTGGGACCTGGACCAGTGAGGGACTTTCATTAACTTAAATAAATGTTAGATCATGGCTCTAAGATTACAGACCAGTAATAAGGCTGAGTACCCAAACAGTTTCTGCCTAGAAACTAATTTGAAGTCCCTAGTGCAGAAAGATGTTATGCTTTTTGGCATGAGGTTTCATTTGCTAAGGCTTTTTTTTTCTTTTTTGCTTCAAAAAAACATATTTATGTTTCATTGCAGAACAGACAAAGATCAAAAAAGCTTTAAATAGAAATAGTTACTGTGTTTCAATTCTTCCCTTGTGCTAATGAGTATTAGAATTCATTGCTAACACCACTTTGAATCACAGGTAGCTGCTATATATTTATTTGGATGATATTAACTAGATTAATATATGTTTAAAATTTCATTATGGTTATCTATAATTTGTACTGGTTTAATTCTTTCCAAATCCAGTTGCTGTTAGAGTTGGACACTGACTTTGCATCTACATATTGTCCTTCTGGCTGCAAAAATATTTTGTGGCTTCCAGACGCTGTAGGAAGTTCCTGCTTAATGTATTCTAAGAAACTGGTTTAATTTTCATCTAGAAAAATTTTCTTAGCCGCTTTCATATTACATGTGAAAGCAGCATATGCAGAGTGAAATAGCACAAAAAAAATTCCTCCGTTTAAAACAGTTGCGATGCAGATTGCTTCTTGATGCTGCTGCAGTAAGGTTGTTTATGGTATGTAATTTAGCTCTACAAGGGACTTCGATCCACATCTCATAGACCTGGGGGGAATTTGATTTTTGTAAACTTAGACATAAGGTGTAGTGTCCTAGCTTAATCATATTCTTATGATACCAATTCTCAAAACTTACGTTTACATTCAGTTCACCAGAAGGTCAAGTTCTTGATTAAAAATCTGAATTCTGATCACTTTTTAGCTGCATGTATGAAGTGCCATGGAGAGGGACTGACTCATTTGAGAGCTAGTTGACTTGAACCGTATCAGTTACTCTAGTAAGGAATATTGTCTCTGTTCTTATGTCTTACTCCAGGCATTACTACAGGTTTTTCCATGTCATGCTTTTTTAACTTGAGTATTGTATAAATTTGCATACTGTATGAATTTAACATCCTGTATAAATAGTGTGGAAAAAATTAACATAAAAATAATTAAACCTAAAAATTACACCTATTACTGTCTCTGATTTCTAAAAATATTCTTGTGTGGCACCATATATATTGCTTAATTCACTGTTTTCTTGTACTATATTGAGTTCCACAGAGGGAGTGTACATCAACCTGGGCAGTTATGAGGAAAATTTTCGCTAAAAACAGGATTACTGGATTATTTGCTGGTAAATCTTTTGATATCTTTCTAAAAAAACCCCACACTAGAGAGACAGTTTTTTTAACCAGTAACAAGCGATTATAGATGTTAACATGCATAAATTATGTAATATTTCCATCTCTGTGAACACTGACAGTTATGGAATAGTTGGCATATATAAAGCAACAGACATGTATACATACAGAGAGAACTTTGGTAATCTCTTCACAAGTTACTAAACTACAGCTGTCCCAGATGGACACAATTTATTTAAAAAATAGAGGGGCTGAGCCTGACAAATAGGCTGGATTGGCAATTAAAAATGGTGTGAAACAGTTCAGTTCAGGAACTATGTTTTTTCAGGTTTAAATAATTTGTTGATTTCTGAAACTGTAAGGCTTGGGTTTTTCAGACAGAATTGCTACAAAGGAAATTTAATGGATTGTAGGTTTGGAAGCTACACTATGGAGGTGCATTTAGACTGAGAAAGTTTCTTAGGTTCATTTTTTAGTCCAGTGCTAAAAATTTCCAAACTGTCAGTACTTTTGCATCACCTATATTTAGGAATAGCCATCCTAATTTCTGTTCTTCATTTCATAGTAGTTTCTATACTCAACTTTTTTGGTTCTTTCTGTCTCAGAAACAGAGCTTAAGCTTCAGTGTTATTTTCCCGTCTCCCTTCTTAGTCTTTGAAGAAGATGCATTACTGAGAATCCAGGAAGTCTGAGTATGGAATAGATATTTTGAAGTAGAATTCACATGATAAAATACTGTTACTGGCCTGTGGAATACTAGGCCCAGGATAGATCCCATCTGACATGATTTTCTGACAAACTAGAAACACTATTTAACATCTTTGTTAGATTTGTATGTTTAAACAGATGGAGAAATGCAATCTTGACAGTTTGAGTTCTGAATGAGTCAACGAGTTTTAAAAATTTTATTTGTACATTATCTCGTGTACTCACATGAGTGTACATGTCTTACCTGACTTTCTTACCCTCACTGAACCCACTGAGCGGTGACTGCTGCCCAGCTGTGTCCTCTGTTCAGCCCATCAGTGCATAGTTCCGTAGGTAGCTGGTGCTGTTTCGGTTTCTCTGAGCTATTCGGTAAGACATGATGCCACTGTTAAGACCCCATTTAGCTGTGTAATTACTTGATGTATTTTATTTTTCTTCTTGCATGGACTGTCTTGAAGACTGTCTTTTCGTGTTATTGATCACTTTTTAGCCCTGGACTATGTGCAGTAGTTATTTCTACTGCTGACCAACACAGATGTATCCCTGACCATCATAAGATGTCTTGGCCATATGAACCCTGTATATTTATAGAACAGTAAAGAAACCCCCAGGAATACCTTCTGGTGTCTTATTCAAATCCTGGCGACTCTCTGAAACCAGTGAGCCCTACCTAATCGTATGACCTAATTCTTGGTACTAACTTAAAACCTCCAGCATCAAAGCTGGCTGTTTCCCTGAGAGGTCCCAGCAGGAAATACTATTCCCCCTTATTTTCGTCATTATGGATCAATTGTGTCAGGACCTCCTGGCATCAAGGAGTGATCACAGAGGCTCCTGAGACCTCATGAGACATAATTATGAGTGTCTTTTCCACTGCATGACCAAACTGCCCTGGCCAGAACAAGGACTTTGTGAGCTAGCAAGTGTGACATAAGAGACAAAACTGACATTCCAGCATTGGAGGAAAAGTCCCTCACTGTTACCTCATTCTGAAACTGAGGACTTCTTTTAATTCTTAAGATCTTTCAGGGAATGTTCCACTTCTGTAGTTAACAAAGAGGATTGACTCCCTTCTCAGATAATCACCAGTCGTTTCAGTAATTCATGGTGGATTTAGCCAGATCCCCGAATATTCTTTTGGAGAATGACATGGAATTTTTTTCACAGATGTGTAGATATTTGGCAGCAGCTGTCATGGATCCTGATAGACTCCAAGAGGTTTTTACTTGGCATGCTCTGTTAAGCGAAGCAGGAGGAAAAGACGGGGTTTCCCAGAAACTGGAGTTCATGCAGTCTCATCCATTGTGTCTGAAGTAGCCATAGAAGACAAGTTGTGTTTCTATTGATGCCGCGCTTCCCACCCCAATTTCCTCTGTGCAACTACCAGATACTCTTTACCCCATATGCACAGAAATTTCTCCAGTAACTAAACTAAATGTCTGTGTACGCTGGGAGAACTTTGTGATGAAATACGGTAGGCCCAACTAGTCTTTAGGACAACCTGCAAGATCACAGAATCATAAAATCATAAAATCATAGGTTGGAAAAGACCTCTAAGATCATCAAGTCCAACCGACAACCCAACACCACCATGCCTACTAAACCATATCCCAAAGTGCCACATCTACCCGTTTTTTTAACATCTCCAGGGATGGGGACTCCCCCACTTCCCTGGGCAGCCTGTTCCAATAC